TGGATATGGGCAAACAAATGAGGATAAGTTGGAAGTCATTCACGGGTAAGGCGTGCACCTAGGAGAGTGAAGGTAAAATCAAAATCCATGAAATGGTCGAAAAGTGTCCAACAACAGAAAACAAATATATACCAGAGAACAAAAGCATAAATCCCATCAAGAAGACACAGGGTGGGTCTTAGCCGATTGCCGTGTTCAATATTGCTGGAATGCAGCAGCGCGCACGCGTTATCAGATTATCTGGTACCATATATTGATCTTGAATTCGTTGCTGTAGCGATAGATCGTGCATAGATTTCGTAGCAATTTTTTTCGAAAAAAAAATGATTAAAATTCTTAATGGTAGCTTTTATACTCTCTACTGTATTTTAACCCAACCTCTTCGAAGCGTTCTACTCATAAATATAAACTCACTTCGCCCGCAGCTTGATATGCCAAAATCGGGTCAAGTATTGGTCTTGGTATTTCATGTACATCCCATATCAATGCTTGAGCATCATCAGCTGTAATGCACCTTTTTGATTTCCACAATGAATAATAAAAGCGTTGAAGCAAACCTGCAGTGCATATATGGGTACTGGAATGAGGAGCCCAAGACAAGCCGTTTATGGGAGCACGATGATTCGCTAACCTTGCCACCGGATGACATGGAATTCGCATATCCAAGATTATCACCTGATAATGTATCAATAACTGTAAGATTAAAATGAAGTTCTTCACGTTATTAAAAGGCAGTTCTGAGGCACAAAATGATGAATAAATAAGCTTAAGAATCGCTGAACATATGAAACAAATGGTAACAAAAGGGGCCGTAAACTGTATGCTTCCAGCAAACAGGAGGAAGTTATTTCTGTATGAAGAGGTACCTTCTGCCACACGTAGCACTTCAGATTTTTGATAGGCTGGAAAATTATTTACGAAATTTGTAGATTTTTTTAGAAAAAAAAACTGCCGCTCTAACAGCTACAGATGGTCGTCTCCTTAGAAACTGTGGGACTTCTGAAGCGCTGCGAAGATAGTGATGCAGGGGCGAGCTGCCCAAGTTGCCGGGCCTACTATGGCGATCTGGCGTCAGTTAAATTAGGCTGTAGTAGATCCCCTTAAATGGCGATGTTTCCATGGCGTTAGGCTAGGAGCTGGAGATGAGGTGATAAAGAGGAAAGCCAGTAATTGTGCCATGGTTCGGGAACAACCTTAAGTTCTTTATTACGTGGTTGCTACGGTTATGCGCGAGGCCAAAAAAGGGGAGCTGAGAGCCGAAAGGGCGCCTTCTTGATGTGGCCCGTAGAAAGCCGCCAATCTGATCTACTTGTACTCGTCATGTATCAAAGCCTAAAAGTTATACGATGCGATGTTCACCGTTCTCCCTGTGGCCGCAGGAAATACCCTTGCATCATTATTTAGATCTACCTAACTAAAAATGGACAACTCTTCCATTTCTATTCCCAAGATTCAGAAAAAAAGCCCCAGACAGACTTCAAAAATATTAGAGGACAATTGTCTGAGGAAAAAAATTGAATATAGAGTAATTCAATAATTTAGGAGAAAAAAACTTATGGGTCTTCAAATGCACCGCATAAAGCTACATTTTAAAAGAATGGAAAGAAGGAAGGAAATTCCAAGCAAGAAATGCAGCATTCAACTGCTATTTCAACAATTTCGATTGCACTCTAACATCCGTATAATATACTCGTGTAGAAACCTAACAAACTGACACGGAGGGGATCGTGGCGGAAACCCTGCAGTCGATAACGAAAGAATGTCGTGAAATCCTTTAGGCAACGATGCGACGGTAGACCCTGGGCGGCCCTTTCAGCCACACTTAGGTGCCCAGAATTCTGCTAATTTGTACCAAGTTTTCTGAAATTGGGGGAGCAATAGTCGCATTTACCTTTTGCGTTATTCTTTACCAAGAGCATACTCTGACCAGTTCTCACTAAAAGCCTTATTTTCACAGCAAGACGATCAACTGGGCTTGCCCACAACAGCATGTTGTGCAGTAACAGTATCCCCAACAAATTGTCGAAGAAAAAGAAAGCATTCGAAATTCATGTGTTCACAAACAGCACAAAAAGCCAATACGTCTTGAAGCAATGACTGTGAGTAGAAATCAATAATCTCTAAAGAGAATAAAGGAAATCTATAAATTATAATAATTGAAAGAAAAGAGCTCCTGCAGCGCGTTTCGAAAAATGGTTGCAATAATATTTTGAGTCACTGACCTCATTGCTTTCGCAAGCGAAGGTGGCGATATAGTTGTGATCATTTCGATTCCATGCTAATCTCAGTAAAGGTGTGCGCTGCGGATCTTCGTATATTATAGTGGAGTGCTCAAGATGCCGAAGATCAAACAGACGGACACTACCATCTGCCCCTGAAAGTAATCGTATTGATCCCAGAGTTTGGTGTGGAGTTAGAATCTATAATTTTCGTCGTCCTTACCTAAACAGCCCCATACCTCCTAATTCATTCAAATGTGTTCCTTCCTCCTGTATGCAAAAATAAGACCCCGCCCTCTTCCTACAGTTGAACAGAAGGCCGAGACTTTCATTCAGAATTTTTCGACATTACTGCGAGCTTCGGAAACAAACAAGCTGATTGAAACTTACCAACGCTTGCAAACATATCTCGGTTCCCTCTGCTGAATGAGATATCGAAAACCTCCTTATCGTGTGCAATGAGTTGTGTCCGCACTGTTCCATCGACAGTTGCTCGAGTGGTACCAATAGCCTGTCCAGTCTGAATATACAACTTCTATCCAAGATCCTCTGTATGTGTAAAAAGATGTAACCACCTCAAGTTGCCAGACAGTGCAGGTTGTATCGATGCTACTTGTACCAATGAGATTGAGGTCTAACTCGTTCCAATCGAACGAAGTCAACGGCGCACAATACTCTGCCGTACGATTCGTGTTGAGGAGCGTTTCGATTTTTGCGTTATTGTCAGCACCCAGCTGAATCGAGACATAAATTGTTAAAATAAATCTCTTTCTCACATTTGATGAGATTAAGTCCATTCAATCTACAAAGTGAAGTAGATCACTGCTTACCCTCCACAACCTCAAGTAGTCGCCACTTGTAGCAATCAAGTCTGGATAAGTTCCTTTCCCATCGGGGATCCACATCAGCTTCGTGGCGGGATAGGGGTGATCAAAGGTGTTTCTTAGAACTAATTCGCCTGCGGATTCATCTAGTTGTACAATGGAAATCTGAAACATAATAACACAAAATAGAAACCGTCTGCAAAAAAAAACCTCATGATTTTTAGAACGTCTAACAGTATTCTTTATTTCCACGAAGTACTCTTAATTTTGATTTTGACTACATAGTAATAACGGTTCAGTGATTCATAGTTATGAAATGAACATAACCTACCTTATTACTGTATTCTTCAATGAAACTACTGACTGCTAAGCGAAACCGCCGCTGAGGATCTGTAGCACAACTCCACGCACTTGCGTATAAATTATACGGCGCGTCATAACCATAGATCTCCTAAAACCATAATTTTTCAAAATCAAGTTATTCGCGACTACTTCCTTAGCTGTGCTCGAGATCAAACAGTCAAACAGTGGATTGTGAAACGGTGAGCACGTTGGGGTCAAATTCCAAATTATGCTCCCAGAAAAATTGAATTTCCCGAGGTCGACAATTGCTACCAAACTGTCTGGAAGGATAAATACATATCCATGGCAGAGTTGAACCAAGTACATATAGCGAAGGAACGTGTTTGATCCTAGGAAGAAAAATTTCTAAACACACACAAGAATCAACATTGAAATGAGTGGTTGAGCTTCCGAAATAGGAATGGTTCCCAAACTGTGAAAGGGCCATTAAGTAAAGAAAAATCATTAGGGAAGGATGAGGGAAAGTTGATGGGGGGTAGGGAGGAATCAAGGTGTGGCGTTTAAACGGGACTTCTGGAGGACGTGAGGCCATCATAGGAGGGCTAACCTGAGATGTTAATTATGGGAGTGATAACCTAAATGTAGACCAGCACGTTTCCAATTTTATTTGTTGATTTTAAAGCACCTTGCGGTTTGGGTCTTGCGCGAGCATCGCTACAATTGTATCTTGATTTGATGGTCCAGCTGCGTCCATAGCCTGCAATGTTTATCTCCGGGAAACACCAAAGTTCATGATATGAAGAAATGGAATTAAAAACAAACATCGTAAACGTCGGTCTGCATCAGCTGAGGAGTCGGTTGCTGAGCGTTAATTTTGGCTGTTGGAGCTTGCGGCTGATACCACGCCAACTCCTGTTTATACAGGTGAGCGGAGCTGAGACCACAACAGGTTCCAAAAAAGAAGTTTTCGGCAAACGGGTCTTCATATAGGATGAGGTGGATACTCAGTAGAAGGCTATAAACCGCTGAATTCAGGGGTCTGCACACAACTCTATGACGAGTTTATGAAGTGTTCTTTCTTTGACTTTGTATGGTTACAGGAGGGGCCACGGTAATGATCAGTTGGTACGCAGGTTCCAGGCATGATGAAACCCGCCTTTCTGCTGTTGTTGTTTTCAGAAAAGTGCTTACAAAAGATTACCTATTATCCTCAGCTCTTTACATATCTCTTTTCGAAAAGTTAAAAGCAAACTCTGTGTATCTATCTAGTATCACCTATATAGTATTCGGAGATGAAAATCGCACAATCAAAAATGGCAATAAGAAACAAAAAGTGTACTTGCGGTTGAACCTGGGTGCATACTTCCGCTGTCATCAATATTAAGCCAAGCAAGTCGAACTTATTATTGAATCCTATTCACGTGCAACAGCATCATTATTTATTCTTGTTCATAGCTCTGTTCAATACTTTCCTATAAAGAAAGAAGGTAGCTCCCCGCAGGAACGTCACGAACTTTTCTCCCGCCACACTATTAAGCTGCGTCTCTTATTGAGATCGCGTTCACCGCTAAATAGAATTTTCTATGATGAACTGAGCAAGTGAGGGAAGTCCATAATCTTTTCAGGAAGCCACAAACGCGATTCGGAGACGAGGTTTGAAGGTTCTGTTTACCAGCAACAGAAACATTTACAAATGAATGAAGAGTGCTTAGGATTATTACTTGTGAGGGCAAAATTTATTAGAAGGAAGAAGGAGCTCCTTTTTGAGCAAACATATGGACTTATTATGAATGCCATTCAGCGTGGCGCTTTGGTGAGAAGTGATCCTTTAGCGGTTTCGAATTCTAGAACACAAAGCGTAATAGAAATGTATGAGATACCAACTCAAAGCATATAAACGGGATCTTACGATTATTGTTTAGAATGACCGATGATAAAATTTTGAAAAATAATGACAAATAATTGGATTGAAAAAAAAGTTTTGGCGGCGGTAGTAGTTCGAAGGATATCTACATATTGTTTAGGTGTGTTTTACGATTCCAACTAGCAAAAAGATCTAGTTAGCAAGTTTTTTAAGTGCGAGTGTATAATGTTTCATAAAAGGAATGTTTAGTAGTTTGAGTGATCAAAACTTATTTTTTACAACTGATAAATCAACCATTTCACGTTTCTGTGCAAAGAACTTCGTGGGAGCTAGATAATACCTTGTTGAACATATGTTACTGCCTCCGCTATTTTTTTTGAACGGATCAATGGAAGATGTGACAAAAGAACTTTGTATTGATGTCATGAGCTAAGCAGTTGGTAGAAACAAAATTTGCTGTTGAGAGATAAATTCTCGCGGAAGCATTTTCTAAAATATCAATGAAAACTAGGCTCATATCAGCCTTACATACAATGTCATCCACAAATTGTGGCATGGCCAACTGAGTATTACTTCGTGACCTCTTTGTTAGGGGCCTCTGAACCACTACATGACCGTGTTATTTACGCGCAGAAAAAAAAAACAGCAAAATCAAACTCAGCAACAATGCAACTGGAGCCCCAAAAGTCGCCCGATTTTGCCCTGTAGGGCTTTAGTAGAGCATCCGACAGTGGCAGACTTTTGTGTTTGTTTTTATCAGAACATGCTAGGATTTAAACTGGGAAGTTTCGACGAATAAACAATTTTCATAAAAATCATTTGCTGTTCTGAAGAACGATTAAGACAAGAAGAGATTTACGAGCGCGCTTACAGTGGAACCGGATGAACCGAGAGCTTTCAGTGTAGTAAGTTGGAGTTCAAATGGAAAGTGTTAGTTGGATGCGTTTTATGGAAATTGTAGTTAGATGGGGTGTGTTGCTTAGGCTGGTGTCAGAGTCCGCGATCCGTCGCAGGTTTCGCTGATTTTCGCGAACCTGCAACGGACCCAAAGCTGCAAGTGTGTGCGAACACTGAATCTGTATAACAGTGGAATCATGAGCAGTCGTCATTTAGCCATCACTATCAAGCAGAAGTGGCGGCAGGTTGGAGAACACGTGCGCAGTGTCGGGACTTGTGATTCCGTAGACCCGTCGCGTGATCGGCGCAATCGCAATCAGCGAACATGGACGGGTCGCGGCTTGGAACAGACTTAGTGATTCCCAAACTCACCTAGTGCTGTTCATTTACTAAAGGAAATATCAAATGAAAAAAAAAAAATCTATAGAGTTAGGTGAAACGACGAATCATATTGGCTCAAAAAACAAGGTAGCGTGTGAAGGAAAAGAAAAGTGACTCGATAAAAAAAATTGAAATTCATTTTGCAATATGATGAAAGTAGTTGTCATGCTACCGTGACTGCTTAAAAGAAACAATGTGAAACCGACGCACGGGATCTCAATGCAAAACTTTAAAATTACCTGGAATTCCTTCGGAGCAACAAAGCGTAAAACCCCACTAGCACTTTGCATTTGAAGTTTCTAGTGGATGCCTCTGCTGCGCATTCGATTATACAGGTATCTTTGAGCTGAAAAATAAATTAGAAAGGACAACTGTGAGTATGACAGAAGATGTCAGCAGTAGATTGGAAGCAAACCGTAGAGAGTTACGCATTCAATACGTGTACAAAATTTATTCTCGAGAAAGGCAGTAATGTAAAACAGTGACAACAAGCTGACATGAGATACATTTGGTGAGAAAGTATATAAGTTACGTACCATCTACAGACGATGAAAATACCGGGAACAACACTTGTTAAGGAGCGAATGTATTGTGAAATACAATCGCTGTCTCCAAAATCAAATGTAAAACTAAAAGAGCCTTCAACAATGAACAGAGAGATCGAATGGCCCAAACTATAAATTAACAAAATACTCGTAATGTGTGGTGTGGTGCCTATTTAGACTCGAAGAATCTCCAACGACTTGTTAAAACAAATGCAAATCCAATTATTGTGCGCCGGACCCCAATGCACCTGGTTAACCTGAAATAATATTGAGTACCGAACTCGCATCGAAATAGCCAGCAATAGTGCATGTTTGTAACTGAGAACTCTGACAAAACCTCATGAGAATTTATGAGGAAAATTGGAAAAAATAGGATATGAGTGTCTCCCATATTACACTTCATTCGGAATCATCAAACTACTCAACGTATTAAGAAGAACAAATGTCTCAAAGGTCCCACCGAATTTTGAAAAACAGAACTGTGACTCGATACCTCTCCGCCTGCAGAGTAAGCCAATATTGGATCCTCTACTGGTCTGGGCATGTTCTGCAGGTCCCAAATTAAAGCTTGCGCATCATCGCCTGTAAAAATTGATGGTAGAATGAAAATATGAGTATCGGAAGGAATAAAATAAAAATCCAGACTATCCATCCTGCTCGTCATCATAAATAAAAGATCTCCAAAATAAAATCAGAAGCAAAGAAAGAACTAACTAGCTGTACAGATGTGATGAGCGCTATGCGGAGCCCACGCCAGCCCATTAACAGCTCCGTTATGGTTCTTAAGCCGAGCAAGTGGACTGCAAGGCATTCGAATATCAATTATGATAACCTGTAATAAGACGAGATAGTTTAGACAGTTTAGACAAAATATAAAGCTTCGATAACCAAAAAGAAAACAGCGAACCTCAGTTGAATCTTGTGCAAAAGTAGCAAGGTGGTAGTGCTCTTGTTTATTCCATGCTACCCTCATCAACGGCAGCTTCAGAGGATCCTCGTAAACTATAGTCGAATGCTCCAAATGACGCAAATCAAACATTCGAGCACTTCCATCAGCACCTGGATGTGAATTTAATAATTTCGCTTAAATGATTTAAAAATTTAATAACTTAATGAATTAGTTGAAAAAGAGGGCATTTTGTGTTAACTAAATTAGGGATCATGTGGTAAGAGTGCAGTTAAAATCACAACCTTGATGCGATGCTTCTGTTTTTGATACTTTGACTGTTAACATCGCAATTTTGTATAGCTATCCATACAAAAATCTACCCTACTGAGTGAATCTATGTATTCTCAGAACTAAAAATAACGCTGAGAAGACCAGTTCCTTTAAAAATAGCGATGTGCGACTATCTTACAATACGAGTTCCCTAGTACTTTCTCAGAATTACTAATCTCAAATTTTCGGAATTACTGGCAGTTCACGCTGAGGAGACCACTTATTTTTAGAGTGGGCAGCAAAATTGCAGTCAATTCCTTTCTTAGTACATAATTAGTTAGAACATGTCACAATATCTAAACCTCAGATCGTAGAATCTTCACCGTGCGCACGTCAGTAACTCAAAGTAATAGTGAAATAGTGAAATGTAAATTTCTGAACACGAACCAACAGTTGCAAAGTTATCCTTGCCATTGAAAATTCGACTGAATGCTATGTCATGTACAGGTTTATCGTGAGCAATTAGCTGTGTTTTCACACTAAACGAAATCGGGCGGATCAAACCAACTGCCTGTTGTGCCTGAAAAAAAAAAAAGGCAAACATCGTTACCCTATTGAGCGTTTGCGGATTCACAGGCTACTGACCTCAACATCGTAAATTGTGCAAGTAGTGTCTATGCTCGACGTACCAATCAGTCTTGGTTCGACTTCGTTCCAATCAAAATTCGTAAGAGGAGCAGTGAATTGTGAAGATTTGTTCTGAAGTGAGGAAGTGGAAAAACACAGCTTCGAATAATGTACATGAGGGAACGGGAAGCGAATAATGTACTGGCTGTCAAAGTATATTTAAAGCTTACGCTGCTTAAAATGGCTTCCTCCGTAACCGAATTATTAGGGTGAATCCTCCATAATCTGAGGAAATCTGCGCTTGTAGCTATCAAATCAGGATATCTATTTTCCTTTAAAATGTTCTTTTAACTCAGATTAAGCCGCAGTATAGTGTACTAAAACAGTAATATACAGAACTTACTAAGTCTGGTATAAATCCAATTTGGTTCGGAGGAAATTCATGACCGAAGCTGCCCCTTTCAACCAATGAACCCAGAGCTTCGTCTAATTCAATAAGTGTAACCTAAAAAAATTTGTAATAAAGAGCCAGATGTCGTGTCAAAATTTGTCAATTTCAAATTGCTTGTTCACCAAGCAAAACAAAAACACCTACATTATTTCCTTGCTCACGCTCTACAATACTACCCACGGCCAAGCGAAACCTTCTATCGTTCTTATTTGCCCAAGCGGCAGCGAAAAGAGGCTTTGGACCTGAGTATCTGCAAAACAGGGCTCAAAAGGCTAAAACCAACTTGTGAATTAATACCAAATTAAAAAGTAAATGAAAACCCAGGAGGTCCGATGACATGACTAAACAGAAAGAGTTAACCAGGTAAACTGCATGAAGTAAGGTGAATGATTATAAATAATTTAAAATTGTCAAAATATTAAAAAAACATAAAGATTATCAAAGGTTTCGTAGATTATAACCCACAAAAAATAACCAATCTTGAAAACCACGCTTAGAAACAAAAAATTGAACTCATAAAATGGATGAAGGGAAACCTCGATCGTAGATAAAGTTATATAAAAAAATAGAATATCATTACCGGTATATTTCACTCCTTCTGGTATCTCTATGAGAAATTGAATTGGCTTGAGGCGCCGAAGGATTGCTAGTTTGTGCTTGAGACGTCTGCGCGATACTCACTGTTGGTCCTATGTTTTGATATTGTGGAAATTGATGAAAATGGGGAGTTCCACAACACAGTAATCGGAAAACCAACCTGTTTGGCTTTGCGGAGTTATGGGAGGCGGTGGACCGGGGGTCTGGCTGTTTTCTTTTGAGGTAGCTGATGACGGATCCCGAGGCTGACCATTCACTACAGCCACAGACGACATGGGCACCTTGAATACAAATTCAGATAACTTCAGTGAAAAAAATATACTACGAAACATTCTTGAGACACACAACACTTAAAAATAACCTTATTGAGCTAACATACATACAAAAATTGCTACATCTATTCCACGTTAAGAAAAGTAGAATTAAAACAACTGCCGAAACTGCCAAGATTAAGAGAACTACCTCCGTAACCGATAGGAGTATCAAATGCGACTTCAATATCCTATGATTGAATGTTCGTGAAAAAAGAAACTAGTTCGTCAATATGTTCGAGCAATTTGGGTTCATCGGAGAGTCGAGTGGAAGATGGGCAGCAGTATTCTACAAATACTACAAACGAAATTATTAAAAAAGGAAACGAAAGAAGTTTGCTTGAGGAACAGTTCACCAATAAATTCATAAGCGACACAACAACAACTTGCACATTTTGTGAGCGTGAATGACGTAATGATCATCAGAACAGGTGACGCGAGAGATGTGAGGGCTACTGTGATGCTCGATCATCTGACCAACTCACAATTCATCGCTCTAAAAAGGGCGTTCGCTGAGTGAAAACTTCCGCCGTCACACTTATGATAAGCTATTACTCAGCGAAATGGTCACTACAAAATCCTTACGAGTAACATGTGGAAACATAATAGGAAAGCAGACGTCTGATAATGTGTAAGCCTCAATGCCTAGTCTGGCGATATCTTTGAACAGGTTACGGACTTATTCTTAAATCACAGCGCTCGCCCTGTCACGACCATCCACAGGTTACATTGCCAATTACTGCTAAGGTAGCAACAACAAAGAAATTTGTTCCGTGAAACCAGTTCCATCGATGACGGAACAGATCGAAAAATAAAAATACAATCTCGCACGCGATCGATAAGCAAGTGTGTAAACCGACCCCGAGAATGCGCACAAGTGCGACCCAAGCACCTTCATTGACGCACTTCACAGCGACTGGGGTCATCTAGATAGTTTTCCCCGCGTCTCTGCTGGCGGTGTGAGCGCAGACAGCTAAAGTTCATTGTATTTGATGTCCATCGCAATCGATATAACACATTTTTCACCCGTACCTTGGGTTCTCTGTTTTGCTGCTTTGCGTACCTGTGAGGCCAGTGCGCACATTCAAGAATCGGACAGGAAACAGCTTTAAAGTATCGCCAACAGCTAAATAAATTAGCTAGTCGTCTTGGACTTTCCTCCATGTTCTCTCTCGAGAAAGGCTGGAGCGCAGACGGTTAGAAAATAGCGCCGACCGCAGCTTCTAACGGTTTCAAACAAGAGATAAGTGAGCCAGGAGGATTGAAGACAATTCAGAGGGTGAAGGGTGGATGAACCACTTGTTATTCTGACAAAAGGTTGAGCGTGCGAGGTCACTGTGGACGTGAACCGCTATTTAAGCAAGAGAGCGCAGACGAGGAATACACATTTACCTTTTTGAAGGGCCGGGTTATAGTAATCCGTGTTGGCATTAGAGCGTATAAACTTGCGGGTGGAAGGAAGCTACGGGTAGGAAATTCAAGATTCGCTGATGTGCCTGGGAGATCAGGGGCCGCATTCCTTCATCCCCAGGGTAGGGGAAGGAAAGGATCCTTCAAATTTGTTTCTTTTCAGCGACACAGTCCCCTTACTTCCCGCACTTGTTTGCAGAGCATTTGGAAGTTGTTTTGAGGCAGTCTTTACTACTTCCGTGTCAGAATTCAAGCGCTAAAGCAGACTTCTCCATGGTATTGCCTGCCGGCATAGCACATCTCTTTTCCTCCCATAACTTGTATTTTATCGGAGCACGCCTGGCGAGGCAATCACTGGAGTATTGCCGGGAACAAATGTCCAAATATGAATGAGGAATTTGTCAATTACCAAATTACTCTCTTTTTTTAGTTAGAAGGTTTTTGGCTGCTCCTTGGCTCCTTGTGTACCGTGCTGCTCACAGCTTCCCGTGCGTATGGCTGAACGTTTTTTGATTCGTGAAGTGAAGCAAGATGACCACAGGAAGCTGTCTTTTTTCTGGTAGATGTAAAAATTTCGGTTGTTGATATCAGATGCTGTGAAGACACATAGGTTTTCGGATATGGAGAACAGCAGCATATCTAATCCATGTCGTCCCTTGTCATTCTATCTTAGTATTTATTCCTTAGACTTTTTGGGATATGACCACAATCCAGATAGTAGCCAAGCACTCCTATTCGAGCGACATGAGTTACTATGTTCTCTGTAACCAGAAGACGAAGTTCCAGGTTTCCACATCTGAAAACAAACCTTTAGTAGCCGTCCTGGTTGCGGGGCAGTGGTCATCCAACGTGAGCGAGTCCAGACATAATAGCACATACTTTGTGCTTCTCTGATACTAAGGCCGATGTCAGAGTTAGCGAATCGAGCGATTCGCTAGCGTCCAGAAAATCGCTCGATTGGCTGGTCCGCAACGCGACCTCGGACGCTAGCGAAGCGCTCGATTCACAAAGTCTGACGTGGGCTTAAGCCTTTTGATGGAAGGAAGGAAAGCAGGATGATGTAATTAGAGTGCATGCGCGAGGCTTGCAGAGAACCTCAGAAAGTTGAATCAGAGCCTTTTCGGTTAACGAGTTCCTTCAACGGAGGCGCGAGGCAGAGTGCGTAAGTCGGACCGTCACGGAACGCGGACCTCACCATGTTCCGCACCTTTCGTCTCTAGCGTGATGCCCTAGCCTGGTCTTTATCGTACATTTGTGCCAACGCGTGCTGTGTGGAGGCCGCTTATTATTCTGCTCTGTGACAAAGACTACGGTCCTGTGATACAAAATTTGAAGGAGGATAGGCTAGACGAAGAAGAAAGATCGCTCGGACTAAATAAGAAGTTGAGTGTGACATATTCCGTTTCAGAAGATGGAGAATCGAAATTTATACTCGAAAGGCTCTGCCATCCTTGTTATGTCGAGGGTTGAAAAGAGGAAGGCAGTTTAGTCGGAAGCGCAAAATGTGCGGCTATTGGAACCTTTGGTAAACAATGGAGAGAAATCTTATGGTATGGGTGAAAGGTTGCATAAACAGTAGGCGACCCGGAGTTGTGCTGAGCAGCCATTCATCGCCACCGCGGAATCATTCAAATGTGTTCGTGCTGATGTTTATTGGACCCTAAATGGAACGAATAGGTGTGGTTTGATGGTCTGGATTTTTCAAAATGGCGGGAGATTATGCCATGAAGGACACAGCAGCAAAGACGACTGCCCACTTTCTTTGTAAAAGTGGATCCATGAAAGGAGTGATGGTCTGGTCAAAGCAACTTGACCTATATCAAGGCATGGAATTTATCAGTGAGATCATAGAGGAACTCTACAAAGTGTTGGAATTGTACGTAACAGGACGAAGGGATACTGTTCCGGAGAAAATGGAGTTGCGGGAAGGGGAATCGGGCTAACGAAGGGTCGTGTTGGGGTAAGAGACAAAAAAGAGTCACTTCACTGACGCACTTCGTTTATTTTTCGTAGAGAGTATGAAAGTGACGCCGTATGAGATAAAGTTGATGCGCCAATGATTCCTTGAATGTTTCCGCCATGAGCATAATCAGCTCACCTTCGCTGCCTTTATCTTCTCTAGGATATGACGTCATCCGTCCTCTGTCGAGCTTAACGAAGCTTACCGTAATCGCTCCAGCCTGAGGCCTCTACATAACTTCTTCAATCTGTTAACTAGGGATAGCTTGCTAGAGAAAGTAGCTCTGGCTATGCAAAACGTGATGACCAGCGAGTAAGATAACGATGATCTATGATCCGTTGTCGACTTCCTTTTCATCATAGCGTGCACCGTGCTCCCAAGGGAAATCTTCTGATGTCGTCGGGATAAAAGATCACCACGAAGTTTTTTTTTGACAGATTGCACTGTTCTCTTCAGTTTGCAAATGGGATCATTTGGTTTGAACCTTGCAAAATATAATTAATTTTGTTTCGAATGTGGGGAGGAGTGACTTTTATTTCGCTCTCCCACGTACAGGGGTTCACAAAAGAAGATCACATTCAAGATGTTTAGGCCCCACCATTCTGCCAGACGTGGTTTATACTTGCACTGTCACACCCTTCGTAACGGGCGAAAACCTATTCTTCTTACTATCGTACTGTATGGAGTCGATGTGATTCCCTCTACTCGTTATCCAGAACCAGGTATGAAACTGAGCCGAGTTGACTTACGAATATATGTCTGAGCTCCGTGGAGGTATGAGCGTGGTACGGGAGGAGGTGAACGCGCAGGCTGAAGGGTACAGAGCCTCGAGAGGTGGTATGATAGGGAAAACTGTGTGAATGTATGCTCTTACCCTTACCTCCGGTCGGTTGTTGGATATTCATGAAAATATTTTGTTGTTCCATAAGTAGTGCCGTTTTTTCAAGCAGCTAAACCACGAATTTTTACACTTCGGCAACGGCAATTCACATTGAAAGAGAATTGTCTGCTCTACAAGATGCTTTGTTTCTCTTCCACCTCTGTTCAGGGTTTTCAAATTTTAGGCCTGCGAAATGGGAGGTCCAGCCGACAAAAATTGACCAAACCGACAACTAGCTCTAACTTTATTTTCCCTGGGGAGAAATCAATCAATGATGTACCCTCTACTTACCATGACCTCTTCTAAACATTCCACTCTTAGGTTGCCGAAAAAGCTTTGCCGTGTTTCTTTTCGAATTGGCTGACCGATAAGCCATAGCAATTTTCAAATTGAAATTGTTCCTCGTAAACGCCATTGTTTCATATCAAGTGGTGTTCCTTTTGTGAGCACTTCTTCTGCTCTATTCGCTCATTTGTTTTGTTTTTATGTTTGTTGGGAATTAGTTCGAATTTTAGGTTTAGGAGTAAGGTGCTTTGTCCACGAAAGTGACCGCATTTCTTTGAAAAAAATTTCCCCTTGAAGATGAGAAAATCAACCAGGCGTACAGAGGCATACATACAACTTGGTCGCGACTTGTATTTAACATTCCACTGATTTTTCAATGTCTCGGCTGTTAAAATTTTTTCGACTTGTTAAGAAGCCCAATAGTGAAATGTTTAGAAATGGTTGTGACTAAGCCAGGAAAGGTCATTAGGCAAACCTGGCTAAATGAAATGAGGTGCACATTTCTGTACGCCACATGAGACGCTGAACTCAAATCTGCTTTCATTATCTGCTGAACTCTTCTGTGAAAGAGTTACGGAGGTTTTTGTTGCCGCCCTTGATTTTCAGTGTCTTGCCTGCAATCACATGTTATTCGTGCATCTAAAGTATCGAAGGTGAAACGAGGGATGGTGTTAGAGGCTTCGGTAACGCAGTTGGCAGTGGTCTTGCTTCTAATGCAAGGGGCAGTATGTTCCACCCCTCTCAGGGGTTGGTGTTTTGCTTTTTTTCCAACATGGCGAAAAAGCCTTTTTGAATCCGATATTTTACCAACGGTCGCCCAACACTACATCCACGAAGAGTTTGCAAGCAGAGCCTCCTAAGTTTAGGGAAGCTCTTGCCCTGAGTGTCAGGATCCGTACTGCAGGTGCCACGCTTCTTCCGTGGAAGTATGTAGGTACAATATCGTTTGGGGATCAAACTACCCCTAAAACGAGTTTTTCGCCAAATCTGAGGTATGAACTAATTGAGAAAAAGCGGGGCAGTGATGGGATTACCACTCCTCAAACTCCACTTTTTTGGGTTGACCAATCATGGACGACGGGGGAAAGGGGAGAGAAGGTGTTGTATTAGGAAATAATGGTTTGTAGATCTTTGGATGATGCAGACGGGCAAGCCAGACACAATTTTTGTCTATTATGAAAAGTTTTTAAAAAATTTATTCTACCCAAGTGCCAGCCTTTTGTAATGGATTGGTGGATCGGTGAGTAAGTGACTGCCCAAATTTTCGAGGTTAGGTCAAAATTTCAGAATTCGCTAGAAGTTTGCTCAAAGGGAGAGTCTGACTCCCTGATTACGAATATCATCATACTTGTTTCGAGGGCAAAAATGCCTGGCGCCTGCGCTACAAGCGCCCAAACTAGGGAAGATCGTGCGCCCAGTTCGTTATTAATTGCCCTTTAAACTCTTTGGCACTTTTAACTATACGCAAGCATGTTCAACTAGCGATGTTAGAATCTTCCTAGCTATCTTACTGCAAACGGCAAAAGAACAAACTCGCCAGGGAGTTGATCCCCTGACCTCTTTTTCGTGAGCCTCGACCACAGCCCCTGCGCTTTTCTGCTTCATAATTCCTTTCAGAGAAGAGTTCAGCAGATAAGGAACACATATTTGAGCTCAGCGTCCCAAGGCGCGTATACACATATACATCTCATTTCAATTGGCCGGGTTGACCAAATGACCTTTCCTGGTAAGCTGATGGCCAATCACTGACTGATTCCCCGAGGGAAGCATGATATTAGGGCTACTTATCGGTCCCGCTATTTTTCGCCGACTGGACTTCGCAAGCCCAAAGTTCAAAAACCCTGCAATGGTTGTGAAAACTAATGAATGATTTTTGTGTAGACTATGCAAATCTCTTTGTTTTTGTAGACTGGGCGGAAGTGGTGTAGTGACAAGTGGCGCGCTCACCACGCGAGGGTTCTGCAGGGTGAAAATCGTGTCGAGTACGTGGTCGCAGAAGTACGACCCCCCCCCGAAATCGAGATCCTGGCACGACCCCCTAAAACAGAGCAAATTAATTCAATTAATTAATCAAAAAAAATCCTGCAAAATAATGTTATGGACGCCTCATCTTGTCATCTATGCACTGTCTTTCATCGCTGCACACTTTTGTGTATTTACTGAAATATCGACTCGAGGAAAGAGGCATTAACTTTGTGTGACCTCAAAGTCAGGTTCGTTCAGAAATGCACAGAAATCCTGAAGGCACGGGGTTGCGATTTAATCTTAATTCCTGCTTGAGTATATCGAAACAGCCGAGTGTATCAATCAACGGCCGATTCAACGGCAGCTGCGGCGCGATTGTCACTGGGTCAGATTTGCTGAAATCCCGAAAAAAAACCGTCGAAATCTACACCCTCGATGAAAAGGTTGCATTCCTCCATTTCATAACCTTTGAAGCAGTTTGAGGTAGGGTTAGATAGAGCTGGATTTCGCGTTTCCAAGAAGTATTGAAATTTGCTCTGAAGCCTTCCATGCAGAAAGATAGGGTCTCTCAAATTTCGTCGAGTAAACGTCGAGGACGCTGAAATTTTCATGCTAGTTTTTGCCACTTCAAAAGCAATATCTCTCTAATGTCGTAAGGTCCTGAAAAAGGGAAGATAGTTTTGGAAAGCGGAAGGTTTGCGCTTTCTGATGGTCTTCTTAGCTTTCTTCTACATTTCCTAGTTGAGAAGATATCTGCGTCGAGTATGTAACGAGGACGTGTTGCTCCAGTTGCAGAATCGATGTGCACGGGTTTCATTGGTGTGACCTTCTGAAGGAAAATGTATGTAGTAAGTATCCTAGTAGTATAGTATAGTAGTACGTTCGTAACTCTTACAAAGCCTAAAGACACTTCCCTGCCCAGGTGGTTTTCCTTCACGGAGTCGTTTTGCGACAGGTCCGGCTAACAACCGTGCTCCATTGGCGAGTGTCGAAGGAGAAGCGAGGCGAGCCGTAGAGAGGAGGTGCCTTTTGCAGCGCGTGCGCACATGTGGCACTCTTCTTTGCGGGGATGCACTTTCATTCTTTGTACTGCCTTCAAATACGCCCTTCTCATGAAGGTGGAGGAATGGAGCGACTGAACCTGCAAAGAAAATTTAATATCATGTTTTTTTCAGATATTTTCATTTTCTGCTGCGCTATACCCTCTTACCTATCTGCACCACGATACCACTGCTGTTACTGACCCCCAAGAGTACGACCCCCCATGACCCCAGCCCGACAGGTACGACCCCCCTGTCGAGGATTTCCTCGACGCGCTTATTACGCGAGCGGTCCGGGGATCAAATCCTGGGTCGTGAGTCGCCCGGCCAACCAAGCCTTCCATCCCTCCGGGGTCGGTTAATTGGTACCAGACTTGTCTGGGAGGATAAAAACACTGACTTGAACATCGGCTGGCCCCCGCAAGTCATTGTATAGGCCACATCGCATTCAAACGCCACTGCGAATGTACAAATGGAAGTAGAATGCGTGCCGCATCCCAAAAAGGGATTGATCAACGGCAAATGCTTTATCCTTTATCCTTTTTTTAATGAATTCTTTCGAATGGTATATGGCATGGTCTAGAAACCTTTGAATTCAGAAGGTTTCATGTTTGAGGAGACGCGAACTACTTATGGGACCACTTCATACCTCGAGAGCGGTGAGTCGAAACATCCTGGATGTGTTATGACTCGAATGGACTGTATAGGGTGATGAAAACAAGCTATATATCGTCTTCAATTATCAAAATTGATGAAAATGACAAACCACTGCGCATATGGCTCGAGTTTCTACTCAAATTTGTGGGGTTAGGACGATGGAAAAGAGAAAGAAAACCCAGAAAGTAGGGGAGTGACGCAAATAACGACAGAATCAGTTCTGTTGATGAATTCGATGTAACGCGAATACAGGCATTTTTCCTTCCAGTGATTTTAAATGTACCCTGCGATTTTTGACACACTAAGTCCACCCGCATCAATGTTCCCTGAATCCTGGGCGACCTGCCTCTAGGTGCCCTGTGTGGTGAAACAGCATCATGTATATCAGAATACAAGTATGGACACCGACTATTTTGGGATCATCATCATGTGTGCCAAAAAGTGTGCACTTGCGACAACCACAGATTGCCAACAAATTTTTCTGATTTTATGAAATGCAGAGTGTCGCTCTCAACAATAATGAGAAATATTTATACTCGTAATTGACAATCCAAGAAGGGATAAAAATTGAAATATTATACTCGTAATTGACAATCCAAAAAGGGATAAAAAATACTTGAAAGATATCTGAAGGTATTCAAGAAAGTGAAATGAGAACCCATGCTTTGACAAGATGTGACACCATTTCCTTCTCGGCAGCAGAGGTAGAGCTGCAGGGCAGCCCAGTGGGTGATGAACACTTCTGAGTGTTCTGTGGCACAGCTCCTTTATCTGTGGTAGTCTCCAGGAAACATCACTGTTCTTTCTTATCCTCATGTTTCAGACCTCTGTCAATTGCTGGACGTATCATAGGAGCACCGTACAGTGAGTGACATCTCTCATCAAGAGAATCGAATATGAAGTTGAGTGCAAACAACCAACCATGGTCAATTGAACCGTTCTGCAAATTTGAAATACAATATGCTTAACAAATGTAAACGATTTCGTCAGCTCACATCGTTCGAGTACAATTGTCCCAGTAACGTGAGACACGTTGTGACGAGAGTTTTGAGGCACCCGTCCCGTAGCAGATAGTACAAAAAATCAGTAACCACGCCAACAGCATCTTCCTCTGGTTCTGCAAAAATAATGGTCAAAACCAGTTAATCATCTCTTACCTGAAGTTCTCTAAAAGAGAACCTAGAGAAAATTAAGCAGTCAATGAAAGCCGGGCAAGGGAAGGACGTGCTCATGTAGGAGATAAGTGACTAAAACACAAAGTAAACAGAGATACTAACATTGGGATCTTTCTCGCCACATACGGGACTGGTGCGTACAAGATTATTTATTTGTTTATTATTTACGACTATTGTTACAGATATAAAAACAAATAAATACAAGTCATTATAGAAAATCGTTTTCGCCCATTCAACAGGAGATCAAAGCCGTTACAATGTCGAAGAGTCTTAGAGATTTAATAAAAGAGGAATCATCCGCCAGCACTTCCGGCCCTTTCTAAATTCTCTCCACTGCAATACAAAGTATCATATTCACTATGACCGGCTTCGTCTCCTAGAATGTTTGTCTGGTTGAGTGCTGGTCTATAACGAATTCGGCACTACCTGAAGATTCGCTTGGAGAGGCGGGGCCAACTTAGGTGTAGAAAGCAGAACCATTGATTGCATAGGTTTTTGTAGAAATGATGTTGTGTTTACAGTAGTTGTTTTTAGAATAGAGAAGAAAACAGCAGCTAAACACACCGACCGGGTGCGGGTTTTTCGTTCGTCTCTTTCTCTACTCTTGATGCGTGATCTACTCATCGCCCGTCAAATAAACTGTGAAGCAAACTCTGGAGTATACAGGAGCAGTAAAAGGAAGCAGCGGTACATAATAAGCGTGGCAGGCAAAACACATTATCTGGAAACATGTCTGGAAACTTCCACCTCATTTGGGGTGGATAAGACATGGCAAGAAGTGGAAAACAACCGAGCGGAGCTCCGTCCTTGGTAGGTAGGGCATGAGTAGGTAAAGTTTGCGGTAAAAATTGCGAATTCGACTCCAGAATTGCTCGTAAACCCGAAAAAAATGGGTGCACCGAGTGTGAATGTCGAATTAGGGAGATCAACCAGTGGAGGTCAGGGAGTGCTCTGAATTAGCGTTGCTTACGACAAATCTCATAAATCGGTTTTAAGACGGCACTACCGGTGGTCAGCAGGACGCGCACACGATGGGCGGAGTGTGTGTAGGTGCGGCTTCCTGCAAATTCGTATAATTTCTTTTCAGGCGAGCCCAGAAACTGGGGTAACAGCGTATAGAGGCTGATGAATAAGGAAAGCCAATTGCCAAGTGGGAAGTGGGGGTGCGTGGGTGGAATTGGACATGGGATTGCCGTTAAGCTTCATAACCGAGACCGCGTAAGACTGGGAAAAAGTGGAAAAGAAGTAGCCAACTAGGAAAGTTTAAATACAAGTGGTGGTCGGAGCGCGCATGAGCTGGTGTGGGGCGGGGGGGGGGGCCATTCGCGCTATGCACTTAACTGTTGTAGATCGTACCGAGGTTGAAACGACCGGTTTCAAAATTCCCTATGTATTCTAGGAAATGAGATTGCAAGCGACTGATCTAATAACTCAACGAATCAGGCAAAACGAACCTAGCATCACCTAGTCGTATTTGAGTAATATTTTGGAAAAGACAAGATACATATAAACGCTACACCCGTCTCGTCCCTATCGGGACGGTTACGTGACCCCAATGTGCACGGCCCCACATGATCCACTCGGACAAATACGACCCCTCCTGTCGAGGATTTCGTCGACCGATAACTACCTGCCTGAGGTCTATCCTAGCCCGCACGACAGAGCCTGGCAAGCTACTCGTGTGCCTTCAATATGCCGAAAACAGCAATATGGATGGGCCTCATTCCCCTGAACCTGAGGGAGCCCCCAATACGGCAGCGTTGGGTAGGACCGCTCGGGAGAGGCTGCTAGAATCTCAAAGAGATTTGGTTCTCTCAAAATCCGCCGAGAGGGCGTCGAGGATGCTGCAAGTTTCATGCGAGTTTTTGCCACTTAAAAGGCAATATCTCCGCTAATTTTAAGATTTAAGCACAACCGAAGAACAGTTTTGAAAAGCGGAAGATTTGCGGCTTCCTAACAATATGTTTATCTTCTTTCTACATTGACTAGTTGAAGAGATATTTGCGTCGAGGATCTTTCGAGGGTGATTGTCTCGGGCGCTCACCATTGCAAGTGTAATTCGTTGGCAACGCTCGAAATGTGTCTAGAATACATTCTTCCAACATAAGCAATAAGGAAAAGGGGCAATCGTCATCATCCGATTTGTCTGAGGTATAGGCCATGCATCCGACCTCGAAGTTGCAGAATCGATTGAAAGGTGTATATGATCATGAAAGAAGATCAAAGGTGAGTTGAACATTCGACGGCTCCATGGGACTGATGCACCACACCTCTTGGGAACCAGGTGAATTTGACACAACACCAATGTCTCTCCAGCATACCGATGAGATGCTCTAGAAACACCAACTTCGTCAACCAAGAGAATTGAAACCCTCCTTCACTATGGCCCTCAGCCACAGGTCCCTTAAGATTTCACAAGGAATCTCTTGCCCACCTACCCTTTTTCAAAGCGTTTCGGCAACTTCTCAAGTAAGAAATGCTTTTAAATTCAAACTGATGTGGAAATGATGTTCGACAATATCACCGCTTCCAAATGCGCTCATTTTTGCTTATGTCATAGTAAGAAAAATCTGTAGTTCTCAATAGGTTTCCTCGTACTAAATATGCTGAAATTCGCAAAATGTGCCTCTTTGAAAATAGAGGTCAAAACTCGCGTTACTTTCCGAACAACCTGATAATTTACCCGCTACAGCGCTTAGCAAAAAACGGATTACGTTGTGGAACGCAGTGCTGGATGAATACTCACCATTGCGAAGATACTTGAGGAGCTCCTGCAGAATTTTCGTACTGCTGCTCTCTCCAAAAAATGTCGGTGGGTGAGCGCTGTGCGCAAGCGGAAGCTGATGCTGTAAAGAGATTGTAGGTATTGTGACGTACTACTAATTAATGCAAAAATTTTGAAGGTAACAAGCCACAGTAGACGTACCTCTTCTGGCCGAGAAGAGGGAACTTGCTCTGGCTCCTCTTAAAAAGAAAGCGTACATTAGCGAGAATAACCTTTACCAGATTGCAGCCAATAAAGAGAAAATTTGAAGACGTCATCCATGGATCCACCACAAGTGGATTTAGAACCACTGTTTTGCAACTTTTCGCTTTTTGCTGTCTCAAGAAGTGAGGATCAATACCGATTCAAGGAACTGGAGAAGAAAGTGAGAGAAGAAGTGACTTCCATGGACGACTCCCTCCAAGAGAAAACATCACCTTTTTTCTTTGCTTTGGAACGAAACATTCTAGTGATCGCCTCAGATGTGACTGAGTAGCCAACATCCGAAATCAGGGCCAGTCGTCCGCACTGTACTCCTATCTGGAACATCTAGACTCAGGCTTTGCCATCTAACAGCCAGTCTCAAAAAACTAACACCACGAATATCTTCGATGACAGGTGAAAGCTTAGTGAAAAGCTTCAGCACGACCATCGTAATGACCTGGAACATGAAGGAATCGAGACAATGAGAGGATTGTAACAATGAGAGCCTAAAATGAAGCAGACGTCTATTAGGTTGATGCATAATTATTGCGGCTTTTTTCGCGCGTTCTTTTCTCGAGAAGATTGGCGTTTGAGTTTCTGTTTTTTTTTTCATGAGAATATTCTTCTTTCTTCCATTAACAGAAATGCTTATCGGAAATTGTCCTCATCTTCACCACACATGCTTACTACTTCTATAAATGTTAGAAGGCGGCGGGGCCATTCCGCGATCTCATCAAACTTCTCAGCGAGGGAGCAATTAGCAAAACCCAAGACGAAGGATCGTTCAGAAGTTTAACCCTTTCCGGACCGCCTGACACACATGGTGTGTCAGGAACTTCAAGAGCTGATTTTTCCAAGAGTTTGGTTTTTCGATAAAATATTTTATGTTGTTACATACCTATGTAACAGACTCATGCCATATGTATGAAAAAACCTAGACTTTAGGTTTAATCTAGGTTCTAAAATAACCAAAGAGTAAATGGACTTCCACTTTGGGCTCAAAGAAAACAGTTGTAGTTCGCTTGAAAACACTTAAAAACGAAGAATTTGTGAAATATCCTGCTCGTCGTATCTGATTCTTATGGATCCAATCGTTTTGGGCACGTTCTACTCCCTTTTTCTCCATACCAACTTATTTTGAACAATTTTCGTCCCTTCCTCCCTTTTTATGGCCCTTTCCCTTTTTTTGCAAAACAGTTTTCTGTCAAATTAATCTTATATATTCTTCGAGACATGACAAAGACATAAACGAGACAAAATAATGGCTTTAGTGGGAATACAGATTAAATATATGATATTTATGCTTGCCGCGCAGCATGCGGCCGTGAGCGCAAAAAGTGCGCGGTCCGGAAAGAAGTTTAAAACGCCACATCTACCGAGCGGAGCTCCTACAGACTAGCAATTCAATCAGACGTTGAAAAACTGGCAAACGAACAAATTTTAGGATGAGCTGGATGCGTTGGTGGCCAGTGTTAGAGCGTGGATCGTCTCCGAGAATCGTGACTTTTTTATCCGTGGAATCACCGAGAGAAAAGCAAATGGGAAGCATTCTTGTGGGATGGTGACCACGCTCCGGGGTTATTATTTAAACATGTTTTTGTTGAATAATTTTGTCGTTTTCGCTGAAGCCACTATTTTCGAGTGACGACCCCACTTTTAGTAAAGAAACATCTTATGCAAGCAAACGGAAAGGAGTTTTGATCAAGTAGAGATCAATAATCTCCGAACTTCAGCAAAAAGTCCAGTTAGGGGTTCGCAAAGCGCATTCTGAGAATGATATGGTTGAGGAAATAGGTGAAAAGCCGCCAAGGAGGTTATCGGTCGTTCGAGAATCCTCCTTTCGTTACTGTTCTTATCGTTATCATGAAAAAGTTGTTCTCTTCAAGAGATGCCGCTTCTCGTGTGAGCAATGGCTGAAGAATTTTCGTAGACGCAGCAGCAACTATGGAATGAATGGGGAAACAGCTTAAGCCAGGCGTCGCACAACGGCCGATCATAAATGTTCGCCATGTGGTTCTAAAAGTTTCAAAACTCAATTGGTGTGAGCAGTTTGCAGGATAAGACGGCCAGAATACATACGAAAATGCATAAGCATCACTGAGACGTCCTTTAAAGTCAAGAAGTTCCAGAGAAAGTGGAGTCCGGGCGAAAGTCTGGAGCCATTTTAGACTTTTTTCAATTATTTTTCTATTTGATTGTCAACGTTCGCATGTGATGTACTTGGCCGTTAGATCGAGACACCAACTAGTTGTATTGTTTTTCCACATGTTCGCGATAGTCTCTTCACTCCATTCATTAGACCTGATTATTGCTTTATCAGCAGCAGTGGTGCTCGTTGGGTAGGATCTGCAACTGTCGTAACCAAAACATCCTTTGCAGCTTCACCATCTGAAAGTTGCTTCCAGGTTGCAATACTGAATCGGGTGTTGCAATTCCTTGTTTTGAGGCGATCCAGTGGTACATTTTAGGTAGTGGTTGCAACGTAAAGAAACTACTCCTTGTCAGAACTACCCAAACTACCAGGTCAGACGAGGAACAAGCGAAAATCAAAATGTTCATGTAGATCACTGCACCTTTCGGGCAACATTACGAGTGTCCTGATTTCGCTCGTTTCGAAGCGATATGGAGAAACGGCAAATGTGGCTTCGATGACACAGGGAAAGCTGTGTCAGTACTTGGCACTGCACCGAGGTCTCTTTCCAATCAGCCTCAGATTTCCATACAGTTCAACAAGCCGATCAGATTTGTGGTTTTGCTTTAGTTTTGAGACATAACAGCCAAGTTTTTGCCATGTGGTAAGGAGCGCCTGGAGCCCCATTGCTTCTAGCTCCTATACGCATCGCTTACATTAATGGCTTTCTAGGTTTGCAAAGCAAGAGTAATTGAACGCATTTCCAATAAAAACAATTTTTTCATCTATTATCGCTGCAAAGTGCCACGGCTGATATGATATGGAGAGCACATTGACCAGACTTCAAATACGTTTTCTGCAAGTGCTTCAAAACTTTCGGAACAATATCAGAGATTTCGCCACATACAGCTGTGAATGGTCTGAAACTTTTCCGAGAACCAAATATTGAAAGGAGGATTCCACGTAGATGCAGGGGTCGAAAAGAGGGGAACCCACCTTCTTCGGCCTCTGAACTTAAAGGCAAAATTCAGGATCAAACTGATGTATTATTGCGCTTGCAAGTGACAGTGGAGATGTGAAGTGTAACGCCAGCAATGGAAAAACGGGAAGAAACCGTCGACAAGGCCGAAAATAAAACCCTCTCTCCAGTAGCAGCAAAGCGAAATAGCACTGATTTGTGGGCGGGCTCAATGGTGTTGGGCGAGGCTAATGCTGCATCCTAGGGCCTTAACGCCTCGACCTTGTCGAATCATCCGGAAGTTGTGCATTACTTCTCGGTTAGGTGCCGCTGCACTTTTCTCAGGGAAACGCTTTTTTCACCAGAAATCCCAAGCCTTGCCTCTAACGAGAAGCTGATCCCCTGGGGGTTCGGACCGACACGCAATTCTTGGCAAAGGAATGCCCCGGCACTACCCTATCGGCGTGGTTAGCTAGTCGGTGGGCGTACCGCGATATCGGCGGCACCGACGAAAATCGCATCAGTTCGAAAAGAGGTCCCAGTTCTCGAGTTCTCATGGTTTTTCTTCATCTCGGCACCGCTACCCAGGGTGCGAAGCCTGATGCTAGACTTCGCAAATTATCGATGACACTTGGACACAGCCAGAAAACCATTGCCCACTATGGTAGCAATTGTGCTAGAGTGCGGTAGTCTCAGGACAGGTACTACACGAAATGCGTGACTAGGACAAAGCGACGAGGAACAGTGTATGCATTTGCTTGCTTTGCCTTCCTCACAACAAAATTTTCCAGGGTGTCGCTATTGGACGTTAGCAGGATTCTGATGCCAATCATAAAGATCCAAAATCCGAGTGTGAGTGTTTGCTTTCACATATACCCTCTTTCACAAGTTGCAGAGCTGTCTGGCCAGAAAATTGGCAAAATCGATGAGAAACGCTACCCTACCCCACTCTGGTCAGACCTAGCCGATCACCATTTCACCACACCAATAAACGCCATCGCGAGAAAATCCAATGACCTTATTGTTAGAACTCAGAGCCACGGGGAGATCTCCCACTTCCTGATCCGTAGCCGCAAAATTTCAGAGCTCCAGGTATAGAAAAGCAGTCCTTTCGTTGTAAATATTTTATGGACCATCACAGATATTATATCACAGATGAAGGTCCTTCTAGAGAAAAATGATACTCCTTGATATGAAAAAAAGGTTTTTCAGAACTTTTTTGAAAACCTAACATTAGGCAACGGGAAGTGGATCGGCAACAACTAATACACGCGAACAAAAACTTAGATTCGCATATTTCCCCAGAACGTTAAAAACTCTTTGATGCTCTAGAAATGTCTTGATTGACAGTGTCGTCTCGAACTTGTCCGTGAAATCGCAACAATAATCAGTCAAAGCTTACCTGCGCACATCCCGTCGGATGATCCAGGGCCGCCGTTTTGTTCTGGGTGTCACATTTTCCATGTCCTAAGTATTTCGCAGTTTCGACAGGAGCATCAGCACTGCGAATCTAGAATGGAGAACTCTCTACTACATTTGGAACCATAACCGAAAATTCATGTATACGGGACTCATGAAAGTATATGCTTTCTCGGAATCCTTGCGCTTTTAAAAAAACCTTTTTCCAACCGACAAATAGTAATGAGCAAAATATCAGAAACTTCCACATGTCTT